CGATCTTTGGCGATGCCAGTGACACAGGGCATGGCATGCGCATCGGTGCGCATCGCCGATGCCAATCATTTTTTTTGCGATGCCGCATCGAATTTTTTTTTGTAGGGCTGTACATAGAAATAAGCATCTTTGCAGATGTGTCATATTTGACGGTGTTTTTTGTGAATGTTCGTAAGTTAACTTACTCATCGAAAGAGTTCATTACTAGTCGATCATTACATACCATGCGATAGCGCTTTTCAAGGACTACATTTACTATGTTCGAATTCAAAAAAGCTCACTTGTCGATTTTTTGCTCAAATTTCCGTCTGAATGCCCACTGCGCGTGGTAGGTGGCGGCAGTGGAGTACTGAAAGTGAGTAAGAACACAACATTCCATTAATCGCACTTTAGTCATGATGCCAAGCGTATAAGTATATTTCTGAAGTTCGTGGAAAAAGATGCTTGAAATTATATTCTGTCAACGCTTTGCTTTTCTTTTTTAAGATGTACTGCTAAATACTTAATTGTACTGCGTTTTGTTTAGAAGGAAAAAAAGTCTATATCCCTCTTAATTAATTGGGTTGTAAAACGGGAGAGTTTTTCATTAACTTTTCATTAATTAATTGGATGATCAAAAGTGTTATTTTTTGGTGATCATTTCGCAATGAATAAATTTGATGAACAAAAATAAAACAAATTTATACCCCATCTTCAACGTTTTTTGGAAAAGAAATTTTTTGGAACTCCTCAACAATACTTTTCTTACAGATATCATAAGATTCTTTCTCAGTGCACTAACTTCGTAGTATTCCTGATGCATTTCGACTTCATTTTTCCCGCAGGACAAAAGAAAAACAGAAGTCTTCAAAGTCAGAGACATCTTGCGAATCGTCAAAAAAATCTTTTTATCAATGTGCCTGTTGATCTCAATAAGACAAACTTTGTAGAACGTAATAAAATATTTAGATTTGCTAGAAAAAGCTTCAGAGATCATCTTTTAATAAGGAATAGTCTACTGTTATGGGTGTACATCCACGATGCGAAAACAAATGGAAAAGAAATCAGGAATTTCTTTTGTTGAGTTCTTTCCACTTCGAGGATCTACGGTTCATTTCGAAATATGTCTTTTATCGTAAAACACATATTTGGAGTTCATACGAATGATTCACAGTTAGCCACATTTTCCTCGATTTGGTTGGTTTTCGTCAGAGAAAAAATGTTTAACATAGAAAAAAGGTTAAAAAGACTTAGACAGGGATCTTTATCCACTAGTAACATCAATGCAAAAAATTGAAAGAACTTAAAAAGCCCGAAAATTTTCTGATATTTTACGTATTCGCGCCATCTATAGCTCATCAAAATTGAAGAGAAACCGACGAAAATCCTAATGAAGACTATTGAAAATAGTAAAACATAAATTTAGCAAGTTTTCTAATAGAGTATCCTCAAATGTCTTCAAGAACTGTGTCTAAAACTTCTTAGGAACCGCGACACAAACATGTGACACATTTTGATGCAACACAAAATGCGACACAATATTTTTTACTGTGAAGTTTTGAAAAAAAGTTCTTGTAGATCTCCACCGAGTTTTCCGTTTAACTAGATACCTTTTACTTTATCTTTTCCATTACCATTCTTCTTATCCTCGCCGTAGTTGAACCATACTCTTTTTCCTATTTTTTTATCATTTACATGTTTATTTAGAATTTTAATTTTCTCCTTCCTTTCTGTATATGCTGTATTGTGTGCTGTGAAGCACAAACTAGAATCCCATCTAATATCTAATCATATACACGCAATTTCATGTGCAATGTAAGTTATCAATGACATAATCACTGAATTCAAATAAGTCGTCAAAAACAGGTTCGTACTTATAGCCTAAAGAATTTTCAGGTGTTTTCTTCTTCTTATCTCTTTTCCAATAGCATTTTCTGTTCAAACAAACTTCGTGCTTTTCTTCCAGTATCATAGCAAGATGTGTTGTCTGGCACTTTTAGATCTTCTTTATGAACTGTACATCACACGCAAGGGTGATGAGAACTAAATCCCTCTAAACCCATCACATGCACAATATTCATCATATCTGCACCAAATGGTTTCGTTATCGGAATATCTTTTCCCTTATAGCGCACAAATTTTAGTTGTCTTATTTGCTCACGAAGCTCAGTTGGTATAACACTTCTTATAATTTCATTCGATTCTTGAGTAACTTGAAATACGCCCTAGAGAACTAAAAGCTTCGCCGTTTTAGTTTCTAGTCCTCCTTCTACACAATTTACCCACATAGCTACAATGTGTTTATTTCCCAGTAAGGCACTATTCACACTTGTACGAAAAGTCAGTTTTTCTGCTTTACGACTTTTTGGTAGATCATGTTTTTTCAATACTGTCTCCGCTATATATAGAGCAGTTTCCAGGACTGACATCCGGTGACTATTGGTAGGCTTGGAGACGGACAAACTATAGGTGACAATATTCGCTTATTAATATTAATATTAAGTTTTTTTTCTGTCAATAGGAAGAGGATTTTATAGTGTACATGAAAAGTTTCAAATTTCGATGATCTGATTGCTAATTTAGGCTGTAGCTTAATGATTCTACTAATTTGAATGCACAAAAATGCATTTAAAATACTCTAGCTCTATTATATGCGCATTATTTGTTGAAAATACTTTTTTTCGCAATTTTCACGTATGTGGTAGATTATAAGATTCTGAACAACTTTCTCATTTAGTATAGCATTGAAATTGGGCTCTGAGAGACGGTGAAGATTTTCTCCTGTCTATTAGTGTGATTTACACGAGATTATCATAATTACCCTAAAGAAGACAAATGAAAACAATGACTATGTCTTTTATTTTTCTAATTTTCTAGTTTAGATTAAGTCAAAATGACTGATAATTCATATGAGAGATAGAACAGAAAATTCTCTACAAGATGGTGTACTTTTCGGTCAGTTTACTCCACGTTTCCTATTGAAACTAAATGGTTTAAGTTCATTTCAGCTATTTTGGCTGTAGTTATCATAATTACCCCAAATGGGGAATTATGCTAATTCTAAACCTGTTCGCTGGAAATTGATTAGAACTAATTAATGTTGACGGATTTTAGGAAAAGTTTTACATCAGCAGATAACTAAGAGTCAGCTCTATGTACTGACATAATACTGATTTTCTGGTGAAAGATGACTTAAATATGCTCAAAATATCTGAAACGTTTTAGGTGATTATCAGAATTATCCCATGTGACTGTATTCGGAGAGTCGGAATACAAGAACATATGTCAGTTACAAAGGAGGAGGGCGGATAAGGTAGGGTTTCCGCACCCAATGGAATTGCATTTTTTCTATCAGAAACATGTCAGGGGATTATTTGAAACATTTTGTACCACTTAGTTTTTCAAAATTTTTT